CTCCATGAGCTGCAGTGAAGTACAAGACATATCTGAATTCCTCGCAGTGTTTTAAAAGAGTGGCTGCCAGGATTCTGTTGAATTCTTGACGATCTTCGTGGAACAACGATGCAAGGTAGAAACTCGCTATGTACTCCTGCAGTAACTTATGAGGGAAAGAAAATTCTTGGATGAATTGCTCTCGCTGACTTTCTCTGATTTGCAAGGGTGCTGGCCTTATTTCCTTGCTAAGAATCCCGACCTTACATGCAGTAATTGCAGCCTCTGTGCATGAGCCCAGCGCCTTTTCATCGAAGATGAGCTGTTTAACCAACAGACCTTGAAACGCGATACAACCAATATCTTTCATACTTTCACTAGCTTTCTTCATGCGGCTTCCATAGCTGTCTTCTAGTTCACTTGGTTTGGAAAAGTATTGCTCCTGAAGTGAAAAGACAAGACGCTTCAAGAGTTGAGAGAACGTTTCCATTGTCTGAATATTGTCCCGTTCACATGGCGTTTTCCACAGGCTACATAGCATACTGCAGAATATTGGGAAGGGTGCCATGTACTCGGAAACCACTTGGTTTGTGTTAATGAAGTTAATGAGGGTCGAAGCAGAATCAGAATCATCTTTGAAAAAGTGTTCAATATATGTTGCCATGTTTTCCTTTGTGAAGCCCTTAACCTTACCAAACGTGTAATGGTCATTAATCGTCATGATGCTCTTGATCTGATCTGCTCCAGAAGGACGGGTTGTGATGACGACTGGGGTATCAATGAATCGTTCTCCTCTTACGATCGATACGATAGCGTCATTGCGATTTGTCTTTTTGATGTCGATTTGTGCCTCGTCCAGTCCGTCCAATAAGATAAGGACTTTTCTCTGATTTTTCCTGATATATTCATCAACCATTTTCCCCTTTATTTCTGAATCATCTGGGAAATGGCCCATGACAGTATCCCCGAAGAATCCGCTCTCTTGAATCTCTCGAAATGATTCAAGAAAAAGCAGATTGATTTCTTGAAGAATGTTACCCTCAGCCCAATCAAGAGCTATCTTAGCAAACAGCGTCGATTTCCCTACACCAGCTTCTCCAATTAAAGCTAATCGTGTTACAAAACCTGTCGGTGTGTCAGTTTTTGATGAATTTCAGCAACCCCTCATAATCTCTTGGCTCCTCCTTTTCCCCTCGTAATCCCAACATTAGGACAAGACTGACGTAGATGTGCTGAAGCCATGTCCGTGACTCAGGGTTCACAGGCGATGTTTTGATCTGACCAAATTTCTTGCGATATCTACTTTTCAGTTTCTCTTTTAACTTCATTATCGCCTCATCGTCACCTGAGGAACAAGAGATGAGCATTATTGCAAAATAATAATGTAAGTAAGAAAATTAGATACGAATGTGGTTCAAAATCACTGCCGAGGAAGTTGAAAACGTTTTGTTGTTTCTGTTTAAACAGTTTCTGCTGATAATAAGTGTTCGGCAAAGGATAAACCCGGCATACGGACGCAGATCCGTGCATTTCAACCCCCTTCCACTAACATTAATAAAAATGAAATTTGCAGTGGGTATGCCGGGCTGTCTTCGGCAGCCAAAGTTCTTGCTTTTTTCAGTCGGATGGGATTCCTCCCTTGGGTTATCAATTCTAGCTGGATTTGCCACTGGCATAGATTCATATGCGTATAAACCAATGAAACGATAGAGCATAAGATAAATTTATTGATCTTGAGACTTGGCTTTAAAGCGCAATTTCTCCGACGGGTAAATTGAGCTTGCAGATCACATGAAGCTTTTGAAAATAAAGTCTTTCTGGCATGAAATTTCTATTTAGTTATCACGTGTTATGTACCATGATGAATGCTGCCCCAACGCATCATTCAGATGGAAACTAACATATTTTGGCATAACTTAACTCTAACTATTTTTCGGTGGTATGAAACAAATTCTAAGTTTTCTATCGAAATATAGTAGATCTTTTAGAAAAAGTACTAAGTTCATGATAAACATGATCTATAATATTTAATTCTGTGTTACATTTTATTTCACGTGTTCTAGTAAAATGTATGTGCATAATATGGTCATGTTGTGATATTTTGTGAAAATAGAAACTGTTTTTAGGTGTGGATATACAATGTAGTTTGTAAAGGAAAATTTTACTCAAACCAAAGACATGGTTTTCCCATATGATTAGTAATCGAGTTGCTTTATAAGTACTTTCATTTACAATTATAGGGAAGCTTACCGCTGCAGCTGCTTGTGAAACATGTCTCTTCCACCTCTAGTAAGCCCACCTCTTTGAGAGCTGCTCTGAGAGTTGGGAGTTGCTCGGATGGTTTGACCGTCTCTGCCCAGTTTTGAAGCATCATCACGTTACCATTACTTGTCTTTCTACCTCCAGCCCAATTCGTCTCCAATGCCCTGTTGATATTAGGATTCTGTACTCCCAGCTCACGACCAAGTCTCCTTATATCACAATCTTCTGATATGGCGTCTGCTACTTTGAGGATGACGTCATCGAATCCATTTGTTTGAATCGATGTTCGACCACTAGAATATATAAGAAGCATATAATTAGATCACATTTATATTTAAAGGTATACTATACAGCTAATCAAGACTTCTATTCATTGGATATCATAAATTACAAATCATAAGAGAAAATCGAAACGTCCTGGTAAATTTTCAATTCCTTCCTGCTTGATATTTCATGTCATCGGTATGGAGATTCATTATTTAACAGAGTTAACATTTCGTTCATTTCCGTAATACACTAGTATGTGAGCTAGTAGTATTCTTAGATTGAATGAATAGATATATTTCAAGACTTCAACAATACTTAGTCATGTTAGTGTTTCAATTTTAATTAAAAAGAAATATGAAATATTTGAACTAAACCATTCCTTTACATTTTTATTGAGAAGTATTCTACTTGTTCATCTGCAATGGCGTTTTCTTAGGATATGGAATACGTTCCCTTTGTAATAGGGGCTTTCTTATATACATATAATACATTGCGTCCCAGAAAAAACGAAACCGATAATTAGCAATGTTTTATCATAACTCAATCACAATTATAATTGATAAATGACACATATTTGTAAAGCTTAGATCCTCCTCTTTCATTTGATGCAACTCATATAATGCATATTTCACGCATGAGTGATCAAAATGAATTTGAAGAGAGGAAACCAAAAAGTCATTTGGCGGACGGTATCTGAATTACAAAAAGAAAATCACATTTATAGAAAGTTGAGTTTCTGCCCTTTCATATGACACCTCAATCAGGAAAAATGAGCAAGGAATAACAAAGTTCTGTTCGTTTCAAGTAGTGCTTGCATTTCCATAATTTTATTAAACGAATTCGTTTTCACTGGCTGCTTGCCGTAGCAACAAACGGAATTAACAAAAGACGCCTGCGTATCAATCATAATTATTGTAAAGTGGATTATAAGCTATCATGGCACTAATGGCTCTATCTCTCATCCCAGGAAATTCCATCTTTCAATAAGACTTAAAATGTTTCTTTTTTGTTACTTTGGAATAACTTCATATATTTCTTAGAACTTAAATCGCTTGTTTGGACATTTTATTCAAATTTAAAAGACATGAATTAAATACATGTTCTCCTGTTGGCTGCCCATGAGCTCTCAATCTCACCGCAGTACACATAATGGGTGAAAACCATATCACTTTGAATAGGTATGTTTGTTAATGTTTATAAAAACAATACACAACAATATGATGTGTGGTGAATTAAGAACCAATGGCATAACGGACTGCCATTCCAGCGGGTGTTTCACAAAGACTAAGATCGACTTTAAGGTGGACTTAACTATGATAGGTCATCCGTGCCACTGGTTGCTCTCACAATGGTCTCTCAATTATGATCTTTAGACAATATTTTTTCCTACAATAATGAACTATCAAAAAATGTAAATTCTGTAGATTTGTGACCACGATTTATACGTCCCTTCAGAGACCAATGCCATGCAGTAAATGGTAAAGGCAAACAGTGGCATGAACAGCCTGCCATAGTTAAGTCCAACTTAAAGTCGATCGTAGTCTTTGAGAAACACCTCAGGTTCGTTAACAGCCCAATGGTCCTTCAATGAGGTATTGGAGCCACATGTGATTCCATACGCAGCTTCCATTGCAAAGGATTTCGTCTTTATGGACGATAATGGTATAGACCACATCGTGCCCAAATCACCAACCACTACTTGGAAGCTAACGGGCTCGAGCGCGCGGAGTAGCAATCGAGATCCCCTGACATTAATCACATCGAACAGCTTTGTGATGTCATCAAGCGAACAGGCCAGAATAGAGTCAAAAAATAATATTCTTTTAGGAAATTCTAAAAGCTAAATTAGGCTCTAACTGATAACCACACTATATGACTTTTTGGTTGTTTTGTGGTGCGGAGTCACGTATGTATTTGCATGTTTACATAGTAATGCTTTGATTGAATTGAAAGGAGGCTGTCGTTTGAGCATTTTACCATTTATAATGGTCAACTGTAGGGCAAATATAATCTTATCTGTTTTTTAGTGTACTGATAAAAAGATTCGTTGTAAGGTTTGGTGTCTATCATTTCTTTCCCTCTGAAATGAAAAAACGAATAACGACATATTTTCATTTCCACTAACGCACCTCCATGTTTCACAACATGTATCGACCATCGTTTATATTTACTACCAATAGTTCATTCGGATAACATTTTAAAGAATAATAACCTATACTGTGTATGATCGAATCTCTTCGTATACTACCCTCAAAAGTGATAAATGGTCTTTCTCAGTTATTGGCATTTTGTGACCAGTGCAAGTTTAATAATAATACATGCATCACAGTGGACTTATGGTTAACATAATATGTACCTTGTAATTGGTATGTCATGACTCGGGGGTTCATCTTCGGTCATTTTCAGCCTCTTTGCCATCGTGTATGGTTTCCAGGCTGTGGAGAAATGTCAACATATAAATAGAAATACTTATATGAGAAATAATCACAAACATGGGGTCCACCGACCGTATGGCAGCTCAAGGTTTAACTGGGTCATAAGTCCTAAAAAATGACCGGTTCGCTTACATATTAAAAATGTTATAGATGTTTCTTTCCTGGGGACCTAGTGACGAGTTATTGCATTACTAACCTGTTATTAATAAATGAACTTCAATAATTATAATCAAGTCTGATTAAATAACGTGTTGCTTTGTCGGGTCAGCCTCGGGTAAGAGTTCAGGTTATCAAAAAAATATGTTAGTAAATAGGTATATTCCTGACAAATTTCGTGTTTCAGAGACTACGTTAACATTCGAAGTGCTTTTTAACACGCATTGATTCACCAAGAGAAACGTAAATGGTGGTCAATTTAAATAACTGTTTAGAGCATAAGTCAAGTATTCTAAATATTTTTGAGAAAGTAGCAAATTGTGTACAAGATCTTGGACAATGGTAAACGAATGGGAAATGATTCTTGTGTTGGGTATGAGAGGTCCCGGGTTCCAATACCGGATAGGCCTCCATAATTATAGTGATAGGGGTTTCATGATTTAAGTGATCATTTATCACTGACTTTGAACACTCACAAATGAATACATATGTATGTATTATGTAACATAACTATGTACCTCCATGTACATGTACGTACCATGGTTTGTGTTTGTTAGTGATCTCCGTTTTTACCAAAATGTGTGCATACGTGCACAATTTGCATAATTATCATAAACATGTAAATTCGTGACACCGTTGTATGCAGTTATAAACATTTTTTTGAGAGAATTCCAAATTTTTCAAAAGATCTTTTCCAATTATAGCTTTTAACAATAGTAAACAATGCAAAACAACTAATGAACATATTCGTAACGAATTAAGACGAAACACATCGATATATTTTACAAATAATTTTGATTCGTAAAACTGATCCTTGGTATCATTAAAAAATGTGATAACATTCTTATAATAAATTGCACACAACATTGCTTGAGTTCGGGTGAAATCTTGAAACAAGCAAAAACCCTTGTCACCGTAAGAGTTAAACAAAAATTAAAACGAAAACAATAATAAATACATTTTAACAACCTGTTTCAGTGTTCCAAATTAATTTTGTAATGCTACATTCTACAGGACCGACAATATTGGTGTTGTGTGCCATGAGACAACTTTTGTGAGGGTTCACTAGACTTACGACCCACAAGACCGAGATTTTCCTGTGTTGTAGGAGTGGTCGAGTGGTTTAAGGCGCTTGACTTGAGATGCGAAGGTCGAGGGTTCGAATGCCGACACGGCACTAATATCCGTTGGCAAGAAATAACATGCACTTGCTACTCTCCACCCAGGTGTTAAATGGGTACCCGGTCAAACAGTTTTTGAGCGTCAAGTATATAAGCGCCTGGCTGGAATGCTCCCCAGGGGAGTGGAGATGTTGAATCCAATGACCGGGATAATAGTAATTTATCTGTAAAGTGCTTAGAGACATCCTAGACGTACTAAGCGCTATACAAAAGCGGAATATTAATATTATTATTATTATTATTATTATTATTATTATGTATTTGTTTTGTTGCTCTTGTGCACTATAGGTCTATAAACTGCGATGACACATTTTACCAAGTAAAATTTTCCTTTACCAAGGAAATCTATGCGCATATATTAGAATTTGAATTAAAAGTGTTAGGGAATGTATTATGTGTGTACTGCTTTTCGTTCTGCTTCTTAGTTTAGAGTATATAAAGGATATGGGTTTACGCATGGACCCTGACCTTCTCAACACAAAAGAGAGAGAGGGAGAGAGAGAGACAGACAGAAGAGTGACTCTGCCTGGAAACCACATAAATCTAGGCACAGCGGCTGGGGTAAAAGAAGAAAGAAAAACACTTTTGAAAGGATTGTTCTGAAAGGAAACATACCTTGATTGAAATAATTTGTAATGATATTCACGCTGGTAGGCTTTATATTAAAGAAATTATGATCACTAGTTGTAACCTATTGAGCATGGGTGCTTGGAAGCTCAAAAACTTGTTTGTCGATTAGATTCCAAAGAGTAAAATTACAATGGAAACTGTGTGGGAACTTGAATTTGGGGTATTTCTCAGTTCCACTTCGATAAAAACATTCCTGGCCATAAAAATATACGAGAACATTTAGATAGACAATAACCCGAGAAGCGTGGGTGCTTCCCACTTAGCCGAGTTGGAACCTCGAGTTGTGGCGAGCTGGCGCGATCTTATGGCAAGCCGTTTTATTATTAATTAATATCAATAAATCAATTCTTGTTATCAAGAAATAATTTTATGTTGTAAAGCAATTGTAATTCTTGATATCAAGAATTCGATTTCGTGATATCAAGAATTGAATTCTTGACATAAAGAAATATGTTTTAATGATAAAACTGCTTGCCATAAGATCGCGCCAGCTCGCCACAACTCGAGGCTCCAACTCGGCTAAGTGGGAGCCCTGCTTTAGAAGCTCAAAAACCTGTTTCTTGAATAGATTCTTTAGAGTAAGATTACAAAGGAAAACTCTTGGAATTGTAAGCATGTCTAAATTTAGGTATTCCTTCGTTCCGTTTTGATACAAACATTCCTCGCTAAAATAATATACGAGAAAAGTCAGACAGACATAACGCTGAAGTGAAGAATGGAAACAATATTTTGGCTTCGATTTATGGCACTTGACCTGATATTCAAGTCCACCATCCTTGACAAGATTTTAGAAATATATATGGATCATAATGCAATTCAGGTTATAGTGAAAACCCTAAAACGTAAATACTGAACTACATTTATGCATTTAAATATGGTACGCTATATTTAAACCTAAGAGGGCTTTGAACCGTTAAAGGTACTATGTCCCATTTGCAGGCCAAAATGATGAAAAGGTTAAATTCCAACGGCATTTGAAAGATAATACTAATTTAGAACTTCCCTAAATAATGTGGGGCTTGAAAATGTCTTCAAGTGGGAAAATATCGACTTTTAGTTGTCAAATCGACTTAGGAGCTATAGAGCCAATAAGTCATAGTCTTGATTTTCAGATCATTGTACCGAATGGTCGTAAGTTTTATGCTGCGCAAAGATTCAATCAGTTTAATTTTGGCCATCACAAGAAGTGGGTTATTGATGTAGAAAAATGCTCATGTACCCTTTACAACTCTTTTCATGTATGTTATTACCAAAGAAGAAAACAAAAGGCAGTCACTCACTCAATAGTGTCTGACAGTGAAGTCTAGTAAGTAAACGGGTTTCCTTGCATAATTTGAATATTAGGACACTGCAAACATTTAAACTTCACAGATAGGACATACATGACATATTCATAATTCCTGCAAAGTTCTACAGAATTTGAGGTTGGCTGCAAAAGGGACATAGTACCTTTAAGCTGATGTTAAAAAAGATAGAGAAAACCTGAATTTACCATAACATTTTTATGTCAGCGTTCTACATTAGTAAAACAAAATTCAGAACTAGACAAAGTATATTTAGACATATATATTATGTATATGTTGAAGAACACATGGGTCCGTATTTCAATACTCAAGTTGTGGGCACTTCAAATGATCACATAAGATTCATCCGTCTCCGGTACAAAATATGACAGATATGTTGTGTACTTATTAATCAATTTCATTTATGCTCTGGCATCCTCTAAAAAAGCACGCAATCACACAAACAATAGCGCTCACACACTCGAACACATCCACGCATTGTTATTTCATTTCGAAAACAATTTTTTAACATATTCGCATTGATGTTATGCCTTAAGAGGAGAACAGGTAATGAGGTCGAATCAGACTCAAGTAAAGGCTCATTAAACAATTATTTAATAATATTATTCTCTTTGATGACACAATCTTGGCTTCTCTTGCATCGCCTGTAAAATGGACAAATGCATAGATGCTATCTACTTATCTTCTACAAGAAAGTCTTCTGTAAATATTTTTGTAAATTGTTGTCATGACTTTCTTTCTTGTATATACTGACTTTGTGAGGAGAGTAAACATTCTAGGTTGTTATGGACGGTTCGAGACAAATACATAATGCCCCTTACTCAATGTAAGAGTGTGAGGTGGCGCATTGGAAATAATGAGATTTTATAGATCATGAGACAATAGATAGAAGGCTGTTTAAAATATTTAAAGGTGATCCTGTGGATTGAAATAAGGTCATGTAAACGCTTAGAAACAGTGGATCATTTTAAACAATGAAGCACTGAAGCTCAAAACAGAGTTTAACATTGAACAAGATTTAACACCAAAGTAACGCTTGCTTTAATAATATAGCCTGACCTACATTATGTGCATCAGAATAAACTCGGTACAAACAGATTTTGATGGCACTAACTAAAACCATGGTGCTAATTCATCCGAGGCAGGACAATTATGAATAAGGTATCGTTAGACAGGAAACAACCCTCTACCATAAAAAAATGATTCATATGTCACCTTAATTATTACTTTTTAATGATGAGCTACTTAAGTTGGGTATAGTGTTTTTGCTACGCACTGTGTTATACTGCTTAGCTTCGTGTAGCTGAGGCATTCAAATCTTCTCTTTAAAAAAATGACAAAATTTCGAAAGAAATGCATTTTTAAAAAGGACTTGAATTGTTTGTTATGTTGGTCACACACACCAGTTTTACATACAGGAAATTCGGAGAGCGTGGATGAAAGGCGCTCAAAAGCTTTTCAGCGGAACAGATTGAAAAGAGGAAAATTACAATGGAAACTGAGGGAGTTACAAATTCATGCATTAGTAACTTTGAGCATATTTCTCCGTTTGGCTTCGATGCAAACATGGCTGGAAAAATGAACGTTATACAAGAACAATCCGACAAACCTATCATAACTGAAAAATGATTCCAATAACTAGTCTTCAGTTAATGACACTTTTAATTAATGAAAGATGATATTCACGCTCCAAGAACCCGGAATGAAGAAGATTACATATTATATTTATTTATTTTTAAAATCTAAATTTGGGCATACCGACAAGTTGTCATAAATGACCACCACGAGCATAAACTACAACAACAACAAACAACAAC